TAGAGAAGCAAGCTTACATGACAACCAAAATAGCACTGTGAAACAAAACCCAGTTCTTAAAGTCTGGCTTAAAAAGGAAGCCTCTGACTGCACAATGATGGGAAAGGTGACAACTGAGCCTCCTGTAGAAGGGAGTTCCACAGCCTAAGAGCAGCCACCAAGAAGGCCTTCACTCGTGTCCTTATCAGGCATGTCTGAGGTGGTGGTGGAGCTGAGAAAAAAGCAAGGAGATGCATACAGCAAGACAAAGTCATTTTGACAAAGGGCTTTACAGGTCAAAAACAGCAGTCTTTATAGACATATCATGTCTATTTAAAAAAAAGTAAGGGGAAGACATATGGGAAAAAGAATATGTTTGTTCCCTTCCAATTGAGAAGCAAGGTGAGGACATGAGGTGCTAGCAGCAACCAAGATTTTTTTTTGGGGGGGGAGAAAGCAGGGTGACCACAAATCGGCCAGGATTATGGGCCCTGGAACAGAGGCCTCCCTATTCCTCAGGCTACATTGCTTGATAAAACCACAACCCTTCACTTAATCTAGCTTTCTAGAGCCACAGGATTTTATATGCAGTTCTGTTAAATGAGCCCTTGTTTGCTGTACCTCATCTCAGACACAAGTTCACCACCCGCGTTGAGCTTCCTGCTTTGAACGAGGGTTTGAACTCTATGACAGAGGCCCCTTCCAACTCTATGATTCTATGACCTCAATTAGTACTAGGCCTCCTGAAGTCTAAAGATAGAGAAACAGGAGAGATCCTTTCATACCTCTTTCCCAAATAAATCAATACCAGCTACAAGTTTGGGAGTGGGGGGGAGAAAAATTTGGATAATTACTCTGGTGTTTTGCTAAAAGGAAGATGGGATTTTTAAAAATGTACATAAGCTCACTTGGAGGGGTGAAACTGCAACACCACTCCTTAAAGATCTCATTTCTATTAAACCTCTATTAGGGCAGCTATTTCTCAAGGCAACTTGATGGCACATCAGGAAAATAGTAGCTTTGGAATACAGCCTTGTTTTCTTTGGGGGGAAATCCAGAACCCAAGCTGTGTGGTGTTGAACCAAACCAAACACTCCATCTACTGCCATCCCCCTGCTACTACTTAGTTCTTCACGAACTGTATGATTGACATCTGGCATCAGTCTAGTTCTAGAATCAGGAAATTATGTGCAGTAGGTTCTTGGTGCTATGGAGGGCTGCGGCAGGAAGGGCTATGGAGGGCTGCGGCAGGAAGGGAAGCAGAAGAACATCCCAGTTCTCCAGAAGTACTGGCTGTTATTTGGCACAGGAGTGGGCACCTATTTATGCCCGGGGGCTCCCCATAAGACACAGCTACCACAACCAACGGTGAGGAATTGCATCATCCAAACTGATCAGAAAAACACATCTTCCAGGATGTCATAAGTGGCCATATAGTTCAATAAATTGGAGCACTTGATGGTAGAGCCAGGGTCCAGGAGTTTGAAACTGAACTATTCCTCTGAGAAGAAAAGCCAGCTGAGACCTTGTGTGGCCTTGGGCAAACTGCATGCTCACACAGTGCCACCAGAAGGGAGGATTAGTAAACCATTTCTGAATACTTTATACCCAGAAAACTAAGGGAGAAGTACCATAACCTGCAATCAATTTGACAGTACATAAGTATTACTTCTATTAGGTTGTACCCTGTTTCCCCGAAAATAAGACAGGGTCTTATATTATTTTTTGCTCCAAAAAACACATTAGGGCTTATTTTCAGGGGATGTCTTACTTTTTTCATGTACAACAATCTACATTTATTCATATACAGTCAGGTCATCTTCTTCTGGTTGCTGCACAATAGTGGAGGGTGGGGTTTCACTTGACTGGGGCTTATTTTGGGGGTAGGGTTTATATTACAAGCATCCTGAAAAATCATGCTAGGGCTTATTTTCAGATTAGGTCTTATTTTAGGGGAAACAGGGTAGTCATTCTGGGATGGTAGCCTAGAAGAGTTGTGTATATCTTCAAATACTTTTGCGGACTAACATCCACTTCATCAGATGCATGATGTTACATTTCATTATTATTTTATGTGTTCAATGTATGCCTCAATTTTTGTCCAATGAGATCAAGGTGGCATACATGGCTCATCTCCTTGTCTTATTCTGACAGCAACTGTTCTGTTGTTTTTATTCATATTTATTGTAGACCACAGTAGTGCTTTTGCACTAATAGGATGGTATACAAATTAAACAAACAACTCTGTAAGGTAGGTCAGGCCGAAAGAGAGTGCCAGGCCCAAAGTCACTAAGTAAATGAGATTTCCAGCACACTAGTCACTACACCATATTTTACCTATATCTGAAAAAATGAGCTTCAGTTCATGTAGGTTTATGTCATCATAAATGTCTTTAGGATTCCACAGGGGTGGTGTTCTCCCATCATACACCTGACTTCGTCACGACATACAGTTTGGCCTTGGCTACATGACTCAATTGGACCAGGCTGGAGCAGGCGAAATGAGGTTGCTTAAGGTCGGACAGAGGACTGATATGTCATTTGGTACAATCTTTGCATCCACATGGCATACAAACTGCAAATGACCCTATTTGGCCAGCCTGCCTTTAAAAAAAAAATCTTCCTTGCCCCTTCTGCTCTCCTCCTTCTTCTGGGAGAAAGCTTTCAATATTTTTCTAATTTTTTCTAAAAGCTTAGAACACCAGTGAGCTTTTTTTTTTTAAAAAAAATGCTTCCTTCCCCTGCCCCTCCATGTTGAAGCTGAGAAAGTTTCTAATTTCCCTATATCATAAAACAGCTGTCTTAAGTCACTTAACAATATTGGGAAATTGAAAATGGAAGAGAAATTGAAAGCAGCAAGCGCCCAGCAATCACACATGCTGGAAACAAATCAAAACAGAGGAAACTTACCCACACTAAAAACAGTAGCCCCCTTACAATGACCCAGAAAGGTGTGGATAGGTATGCTCCAGGGACAGGCTAGTTCACACTGGCAGTTAGATCATCTGGTTGCTGCCAAATGGAGTGAACCAGCCCATCACCACAGCAAACCAAAGAGTGGGACAATACCCATGTAGTCATTACCTTTGTCATAAGAACAAAAAAGTATATAAGAATGCACTTTAAATAATCAAAGGGCAAGTATTCATTCTTCCATCTCTTTAAAATTGTGCAAGAGATTATTTGATAACGTGACTCCTTTGATTCCAGGGACAACATACCTATCTTTATGTGTAATGAGATATGGTGCAGTGTAAAAAGTTGGAACAGGACTCAGAAGACTTGAATTCAAATCCCTGCTTAGCCCTGGAAACTTACTGGGAGATAACACTGGTGAATCTTAAATATTTCTCATATTCCAGGCAAAATCAAAACAAAAATAAAAAAATAAAGAAGGCAAAAACATTGTGGCACCTTAAAGAACAACTGCTATATTTTAATGTGCGTTTTCCTGGATAAGTCAATTTCTTCAGACACAGGCTAACACAACTACTATCTCATATCCTTGAAACCCTTCTAGGGTTGTACAAGTGGCAAGCAACCTGACAGCACATAACACATTGTTATGCTGGCTGAATGTCAGCTAAAGCTTGCACTTGCCATCATACCTACTGAGCTGTCACTGATCTCTCAAAAGGATGATTCCAAGAAGATAAGAAAATAAGCCAGATTTGCATTGAACTTGTCCAAATGCAAGCCTGGACACATTTTGCCTAATTTTCAACCACAAAAAAAAAAAAAAAAGGAAGGGAAAGGAGAGGAGAGGAAAAATGCCTCTTGGGAAGAAGGCTGCCAAATACAATGGAGCTCCCCAATCTCTTTTTTCTAGGCACTAAGTTGGCTCAAGAACAAGACTGAGATAGGCAGCAGTCAAGATTTTAAAACATATCTAATCAGCCTCTCTGACAAGCCTCTCTCTTCGCAGAAATATTCAGCAACAGAGGATCTAGTTAGTATGCAAGTGTGACAGAAGAGCTTGTGTTCATCCCACTTTATGCTGTGTTTGAACAGGCACAGAAAGTCCAACTAATCTAAGTCGAAGCATAGATTTCAAAATCCAGTCTATGTATTTAAATCTCAGATCTGAAGGCACACACAGAGGTTAGGAGCCAGATCGATCGACATGCGTGAGATCTATCAGTATGCAGTGCTCCACTCTGCTGGGGGTTTGTGAAACCGGGGGAAATGTTCAGCATCACGTTCCCATCAGCGAGACCACCATCTCAAGAGGCAGGGTGAGGGATTTCAGCTAAACTGGTCTCAGCAAAGCACACCGTGTAACATGCATCACATGACACAGACACCCTGTACGCACACACCAACATGCATGCATGCATGCATGCATACATACATACATACATACATACATACATACATACATACATACATCATCTCATATATAAAGGTATTTTGAAGACCAACAACTTGCCTTTGAAAATGATACTTGGTGATGCCAAGTGAAAATGCATCAAGCATACACCCTGGCTAAAGAGTCAAGGCTGGGAAGGGGCCCGGACAGGGGTTGGCAGAGAACGGCGGACGGAACACGGAGAATGTCATTTGGAGGTGCTCCCTCTCCCTCGCTCGCTCGCTCACACATACAAAGGTTCTCAACCTGCTCCCCAAACTGTCGTGCTCAACTGCTTTGCACGAAAGGAATCCCCCCAATACTTAAAAAGGGTTGGCGACTGTATTTTCCGACGGAAAGCCACCGAACAAAACCGGGAGACCAAGGAAGGGAAAAGGCCTTCTTCGCTAAGACGGCCACGGAGTGCGAGGGGCTGCCCGGCCGATCGCTCCTCCCGGCGCTTCCGTGGGAAGGCAGCCTCCACGCGGTGCGCAGGCGAGGAAGGGGTGTGGTGCGGGGCGCCGGCGAGCCTCGACGGGGCGCCTGCCCGTTCCTTTCGGAGCCGAGCGCTGGGGCAACGGAGCCTGTCCCGCGGGGGCAAGGAAGGGCCCCTCCAGCATTCATTCATTCATTCCGCCCGCCCGCCCCGGATAAAGCGAAGCGAAGCGGTTACCTCGCAGCCGTAGAGCTGCCCCAGCTGCTCCACGATCCACTCCTCCAGCACCAGCCTTTTCCGCAGCTCTTTGCGGTCGTATTTGACGGTCACTTTGCCCTGCTGGTGGCGCCGCTGCTGCGGCTGCTGCTGCTGCTGCTGCGGGCAACCCCACCCCTTCCGCAACACCAGCCACCTGGCTAGGAGGGGAGGGAAGCTGTAAAAGCAAGAAGCCGGTGCCAGGGCCCTCTGAGAGCAACGTTCCTGTCGCCGGGGGAGTCGCTGGTAACATCTGCCGTCCCCAGGCACTGGGTGAGAGACAGTGCCTGGGAGTATTTCTGGCCTGCACTCCCCTACCCTTCAGGACCAGGACCCTGCTGCTGCTGCTGCTGCTGCTGCTGCTTTGGGCTACCCCACCCCTTCTGCAACACCAGCCATCTGGC